CGTTCATTAGTCATAAAATATAACTTATAAAGATTAATGAAATGCATACGTATATTTTCTTATAAAGTTTTAACTTCATACGTATTTATCGTTTTAAAAATGTAATAAATTATTAAATTTTTATTCTTTAATTATTTAATTGAAGCGAATTTAAAAGGAAAATGTCTAAAACACTACCTACCTACATTCCGAGGGAAACTAAAGAAACGTCTTTATTTTCGTATTGGCTGTAATATGAGTGTAATGATATGCTCACACATCATAATTTATTGTAAATTTTATTATTTCATTAAATAAATAACGGTAAAGTTTTCACACACAGATACCAATAATTCCTATTAATCACTGATGAAAGAAACGATTTACATTATTTGGTCACATAGAAACTCACACGTTATTGTGACAATATGGCGCAAAGCATACGATCTATTTTCGTGTGCCGCCAGAGACAAGGGATGGTCCAATGAGGCTCTCCGTCGTCAGGGAGAAAGCCGATTTCTCTAAGGATGCGGAGGCCTTTGTTGGAGCCGCCTGCGACCCTGGCTGTCTTGAACACGTCATCTTCTCTCACGAGCGCATGAGCACCGACAAAATTACAAGTGCAGGCGCACCAGACAAGCGATCAGGAGCTCTACTCAAAAATCACCACACACCTCACACCACAAGATTCTACGAGCGACAACTGAACTTCCTTTTTTTATAAGTTAAATCAGAGTTGTTTTTCTTATTTGAACTTAAGTTTTTCTTAAGTCGTATCGTAACTTGTGTCACCTTGCATATTTCTCCGAGGAACGTACTACAGGTATTCACTGCGGCGAACCAGGTAAGATTCATGTCTAAAATACTTATTGTTAGTATAGATTCTTTTACTACCTATATAATTTGCGTAACGGTGTATTTGATAATATTCTCTAATCACGACCTCGAGAACCCTCCGAAGAACCCTCCAAAGAAGAGGAGAAAGGTAATAACACAAGAACAAGTATATTTAATAATTATTAATACCGGACTTACATACAAGGTTTGTGTCCCTTGTGTCAGTCCGGCCGCATCTCCCATTACTTTTAACCTTATTTTTCACTACTTTATATTTAATTTTAATTTCTTTATTTTTGTGTTATTACAAGAGTAATGGCTTTTTCATTTTCGTTGACAATGTAATTTGAGAAATTAGAAAACATACAATATAGATTATGTTAGGTACCTATGTGCACGAATACGATATTGTGTAGAACATTTTTTTCTTCAAGACAGTGAAATAATCAAAAATATAATTCTTAATAATGAATTATTCTAGAATAATTAAAATTAAATTATATCCTTTTATCATACAGTGTTAATTTTTTTAAACTTTGCTAAGAGTTACAGTTGTTCATTAACTTACAAAATCTATAACGCTAATAAATATTAAAATAATTATTTTATGTTTATATTATCAAGTTGGAAATTAAATCATTCTGTTTGACTTGCTATTTGTTACAAAAATATATATATACCTAACACCAAAAAATCTACTTAATAAAAAACCAAATTATACATATTTATTAATGATTGCCAACAAACCAGTAAATACTTAACAATAAATTTAAATAAATAATTAATAATTGTACAGAAAACGTAGGTAAATAAGTACATAATATAAAAGTCCCGCATAAAACAATCAATTTAATATCATAGCCTACATAAGAAACAAATTTCAAAAATAATTGGACACAATACACAACTATAGTGCATAGGTATTCTGTACAAAATACAAATTATAAACACCTATAATAACAATGATTGTAGATTGAATGTTCGTTATACCGTTAGACTTTAATTACTAGTATAATATAAGTCATCTTAACTTTAATTTTTATAATTAATTGCCCATATTTTAGTCAAAAACGTTACACAGCTCCGTGATCTATTTCATAACAATTATTAATATATTATAAAAACTTCAAATTTTTATGACTTCATGAGTAATTACAATACCTTCTTCCCTTTAGTAAATAATTTGCTATTTAAACCATAAAAAGGATAGGTATAGAAATAACACAACACTACAAATCAAACTTGATTTACAAAATATAAAAATATATACCTAGATTGTATCTTTTAGTTACCTTAATAAATTACGGAAATAGGAAATAAACTACTAGGTACTGCTGCTGCTATCCCAACTAAAGTAGGAATTTTATTTTATTCGGCATAGACGTGTTTATTTAAACGTGTTCAGAATTATTATGTCATAATACGATAATCATAACCAAAACTGAGAATATTATTTTTTATTAGCACCTTATAGTTGTAACATTATTACCAAATTATAATATTTATAATATAAACTTTAATACATAACGCATGAATGTTTATCTTATCTATTGTAAACAACCAGATTTAAAATAAACGACAAAAATTATTATTTTTTTCTTATTTAGTCTACAGTTTTGGCTCTTTCATTATTATTTAAGCTGATGTTTCACTTTTTAGCTAATTACTTTCAAAATATATAGTTATTTGTTTCTATAACCATTGTTAATGCATACAGTAAAAAAAAAAACGATTAGAGTATCATGTCTACTATTGTTTTACATATTAAACAATAGTTAATAGTACGATTACATCAATTGTAAGATAACGTGAATTTACGTTCGTTATTTCAATAAATATGTAAACTACAATAATTTCATCATATCATTATTATTGTCTATACAAATCGGTATTTAGATATTCATAAGAGCAATGCCGTATACAGACAAACGTCATACAATAATATTGTACTTTTTATTAAGTATTGAATTTTTATAAAATTAATTATGAATGAACATTTTTAACTCTATAGGTGATAAATAATTTGTACTCAAGTTAAAATTAACATATTAACGTCACCGATTGCCTACATAAAAATCGATTTATAAATTACACGTTTAAGCTGCTATTTTAAACTTAGGAAATGTCATGACTCATTAGTAATTTGTTAACAATTTAGTATGGCTATATCAAACATTTTCGAAATATTTATTTTTCATTTGTTCATTTGGTATGGAAATAACACCAAAAAAAAAAAGAGTAAACTACATAATATTTAAAAATAATTTATTCGTGATTTTAATCGTTTCAAAAATATATATATATATATTGTAAAGATAGTTCCTAAATAATTTCTTAAATAATGAAAAACTATAACTACAGGTACAACAAATTCACGGTATTTACTTCAGTTTTTAAGGGAGAACATACTAACATTTATTAGAAAATATGCAATATGTCTTGCATAGTTACATAATATTATAAAATATCTAGAATGCACTACAGGGGAAAAACGTTATAAGTCAATTTCTTTTCTAAATGTCGCCTTTTCAGTCTTAAAATATTATTCTCCTAATTTAAGTGAATGTGTTATAAAATAAAATATGATATTAACAATAAAAATATTACAGTTAAATACGACAAAACTTTATATAGATTGTACAATCTATGCTCGAGATAATTTTAAACATTCAAAATTTTGTAACTAAAAATTGACTTATAAATACATTATTCCTCTGTGGTCTTACATGTTGAATTTTACTTTCATAAAATTAATAATAAGCGTAGTGTTAAACAAAACAAAAAAATAATTAAGAATAAAAAAAATTCAATATTTAGGCAATCTACGAGTACATTACACAATTATGATTGAGAAAAAAAATGTATTGTTTTAAAAAAAATATTATTATTTATTCACACAGCTCGGAGTGTTTTGTCTTACCTCTAGGATTCAGTTTTTCAGATTTCACTAATAGTGCACCTACAGTTACATATTACCTACGACCAAATATATATATTTTATAAACGTATACAGAACCTACACTCATCAAACAAGAACAAACCTAAAATACTTTGATGATATATTGCAGTTCACTGCAGTCGGTAGTGTGTAGAAAACTAAAATAATATGCGTGCAGTTTTATGTTTAATTCAGTTATTAAAAAATTCGTTAATCACTTCTCATGAGTTACACTACATAATGATTATTCTGTGCATATAAGTTTAAATCCTAACGATATCACACGATAAAAAAAAGTCTAAAAGCTCTAAAAAGTTACAATCTTGTAAGCATAGAAATAGCAAGTAAACTTTCATCTATTCAAAATTTCATTAATGACAATAATAAATTAATAATAATTTCACAAGACAAATATATTTGTTATTGCGCTAAAAGTAACAAAATAAAAAAGAAATAAACACTTTTAAACATTATGCAGGTACTCATGACATAATATAGTAATATAACTAATTAGAAGTATATTAACGTAACACTCGAACAACGGTAAATCTAAAATAATTTATACCAATTTGTTTGAAATCTAAATTTAAAAAAATTGTTTTGAAATTAATTTAGAAATGTAATTTAAAAGGTTTGTTAGAGCATCATAAGACACGCGAACAAAACACTGAAACAACAAAAGTTGGTTCAAATGGAGTCGAGTTTAGTCAGCATTTATAGGAATTTTTAGCTTCGAGATACTAAAATAGTTATGTCAAGCGTTGTGATTTGTTTTTCGGTGGTTCTCAATGACCTACCAGTGATTTAGCGAAATTCTTGTTGGTAAACATGGGTAACAATCCAATAATTTAAAATACCCCTAACCTTGGACGACCGTTGTCCTAATAATTATCAAAGTGTAATCAATAGTGACTTAATATATAAAATAGAAAACGTTGCACGCATATGAAAAACGCCTAAACATTATAAAAAACCTATCGCAAAAAGTAGCATCAAATTTATTAACAGATAAAACATTATTTATTTTTATGAAGTCATTGCAAGATAAATAATTTTTCATCAATACTGACAGTTTAATAACGACTTTCGGAAAGAAAAAAACTACCATTATTAAGACAATATAATATTGTTTATTATTTAATGTTAACAATATGTTGAAAATATCAAGTAAAATGTAATTAGAAATCACAAAAGATTTACATAATAAAAATATTTACGAACCGATATCAAATTAATAAAAATTTCAGATAATTACCGTTATTAATTTTATATCAAAAAAATTAAAATTAAACGAGTTGGGAACAAGGATAATGGCAAAAACATAAACTTAACTCAAAATTATTCAATTCTGTTATTAATTAAGTAAATACCGCTTATTCTGTGTATTTAAATTAACATAAATTCATTATATTAAATTTCAAAAATACTTACAAATAAAAATAGGCCAATATATGGGAGAAATAAGAACTAATATTTGTAAATACTAACATTTTGGCCATACCTAAATATCGATTATTATAATGTATGCCTTAGAAGGGTTGTGGTTTATTTTTGTCAATGAATTATACACTTTAAACCCATTGAAAGTAGGTATTAGGTCATAAATTATGAAAATGTTCATAAACAGAGCCAAAATACTTATAAATATAAACAAAGAATAAAAACTTACCCATAATTAAATCTTTAATTTACCAGAAATAACAAATTGGGCTATTGAATTTAAAAAAAAAACATCAATCATTTCATATAAACCAAAATAATTCATGAAAATTAACATTTTTACCAAACTATGTTCTTATATATTATACAAATTGTATTTACATAATAAAATTACAACTACCCATATTTTTCTGTGATTAGAAAAAACATTTTATGAAAAATATAGTGTACAGTATTGATAGGCTAGGGATAGACTAATTGAAATAATCAGGCTTACGCAGAAAAAATAAAAAATTTACTATAAATAAAACAAATTAGCCATGAATTATTGAATTCATTAGAATAAAAATAATTATTCAGTCAAGAACACTGGAAGCGTCCTCCACACTGTTCATATCAACATCTAGACTCTCAATTCCTTCTTCCTGAATCAGATTTTCCAAATCGTCCTTAGAATAATCAGTTGATTCTTCCATGTCGTTAGTACTTTTGTTGGACGAATCGATGATGCCTGCTTCCACAGCTAATTGAGTAAGTGCAGATTCTGTACTAGCTGGTAAATCAGTAGATAATTTAACTGAGGACGGTACTTTTGAATTAATTGCAGTAGATCTAGGTGTATTTGGTGTATTCACAATATTTGTGTTCTTTAGCTGGACAACATTACCACCAGAATTTGAAGTTAAGATAGCCATATTATTTTGACCACTAACCATTTGAAGGGTTACAGGCTTACCACCTATTGTCATACCAGTCAAATTTGATTTACCTAGGGTGACCATTTTACGATTACCAGCTCCAGCCATAGTAATTGTAATTGGTTTACTTCCAGTTGGTGTATTGCCACCTGATGATACCATTACCATTTGAACAGGCGCATTACTTACACTGGTGCGATTGGTCATATTAGCCTGGGAGGCTGAAAATGTCTGAATGCCCCTCAGATTCGAACCAGTTGTTACAATAATAATTTGTGGGGAAGCTGATCGATTTGAGTTACCTTTTTGAATAACAATAGTTGGTTTATTAGCAGCAACTGGTAGTCTTGCACCAACTGTTTTTAATGGTACAGTTTTCATAGTTTGGTTTGATTTAATAGGACTACTCTGTTGATTTATTGGAGGATTAATAAACTTTAAAACAGATGGTTGCATATTTTTATTTGGTGTAGTTGTTCCAATCATCTTTCCTGGAATACCTTGTATGAGATTACCTTGACTGGTCTTGACCAAGGTAACAAAATTTGATTGTGAACCACCAGGCTTTTGAAAAATTACTTGTTTTCCAAAAACATTAGATCCAGTTTTAAGAACTGTACCAGCAACTGAAGTCTGTAAAGCAGGTCCGGTTATACGAACTGCTTGTTGTTGTGGCACTGTAGTGTTTACAGGTGACATGACATTTTTTATTGATCTTTGTGTTTGAACAATTTTAAATGGTGCACTTGAAGTCTTAATCACAGGTTTTGGAAGTTCTGATTGTTTAGAAACTACTACAGTGGTTTTGATCTTTTGAGTAGCTGATGCAGCAGCAGCAAGAGTATGCATGGCAGCATCTGACATGTCCATAGAAGGAGAGCTAACAAATGCAGGTGTCTTTGGTGTTACAGGACTTACTGCCTTAAAATTTTGTGGTAACGATGGTGTAACATTAGTACTTTGAACAGTTTTTATTTTCATGTTTCCAGATGCTTGAGCAATAACAGGAGTAAACTGTTGATCTTTTACTAAAGAAGAGGAATTAACAGTAGAACCTTGGGGTATTATTTGTATAATTTGATTAGGTTTGGCAGGACTACCAGCTTTAGTACTAGTAGTAGGTAAAATTTGACAATCATCATTATCTGTATTTTTCTTAGCCAATTCCGGTGTCAAGAATGGTAGCAATGAATAATCAATCATTGTTGGTGGAGTTGGGGCTGCAGTATCAGCTGGCTGATCATACTTTTGAATTTGTAAAATATAAGCATCCGCAGTTGGTACACTATTCCATACAATTTCTAAAGCATTAGTAGACGCACGAACCAACTGATTTTTAGCACATTTTTGTGGTTTGTCCACTTCTAAATACCATAAATCTTTACAACAAACCTGATTATTCCATGCTTTTCTATATCCGTCTCGCCCAGACCACACATACATTCTTGTTTGAATATTTGCAGCACAATGACCTGCTCTAGCTCTAGGCATATTATCTTCATTCATATCCATGTTCAATTCTTCCCATGTCATTGTTTCTAAATTTAAACAAGCTAATTGATTTGTACATTTCCATTCTTTTTCATGTATAGGTAACTTGACTTCTTCAACAAACGGAACCCAACCACCAAAAACAAACATTCTATTTTTTATGGTTACAGCAGTGTGTAAAGACCTCGGTAAAGGCTTAGGACCCAAAACAATAGGTCTATTCCATGACATAGTATCTATGTCTAATGTCCAAAGATCTCCTAGTCGACAACCACTCATACCACCATAAATGATAAGTTTACATTTTCCTCTTGAGTCAGTATAAGCTACAGCTGTGTGGGATTCTCGAGGTGGTGGAAAATCACCAACTGTTTCTGGAATATCCCAGGCTAAAGCATCAGGTGAAGATATATCTAATGTATATAAATCATTTAAATAACGTGGTATATTATTTTTTGGGTCATTGCTATCATTAGCTAACCCTCCAAATAGGTAAACTTTATTACCTATTAATGTGAAACTATGACCAAGTCGTGGGCAAGGTGACATGTGATAAAGAGGAGGTCTAGGTTGAAGCTTACTCCAATGCCATCGACTTGCTTGGAGTTCATATAGTTCATTTGAATATTTTCCATATTCAACCATACCACCAAAAATTAGTAATCTAGTATTATCAACAACTAAACCATATGCAGCACACCCAGGTGGTATATCACCAGAAGTCTGAGGTATAAACCATTGGTTATTAGCTGCATTGTAAACATGTAATTCATCAACAATTCCCTCATTTCCGCCACCGAAAACAATTAAAAGATCTTTAATAGCGACTGCTCTGTGTCCATGCCGAGGCCTCGGTTGAGGTCCAATGGGATCAAGAATTTTCTTCCATTTTAATACTGGAGTTGAAGGCACAACTTCTAGCTTTGCCTCCATTTTATCTGTACGTTCTGTGTTCAACAACATTATGTTCTTTTTTTATTCTGCAATAAAAAAAAAATACCAAAAATATTAAAAACTAGCTAAAAATAGTGTTAACAATGTACAATATTCATATTTTTACTAGTTAATAAATCAAACTGAACTGGAAACTTTGGGGAGACTAGATTTATTTTCTAAATAGTCAATATAAGTGTAATATATTATATATAAAGCTCAAGTAATCTAAATCAAAGTTTGTTTTTACATACTTACCTTTAGTTGTAGAAATAATGCAATAAATAGTTGAAAAATCATGAAAACCACTTTTTAATTTGTCTTAAGAAAATCAAAAAAATATCCCAAAGTTTCCATTCAATCAAAATTTAAAAAAAGGGTACCACATTATTAAAGAACAAAATAAAAATGTTAACATCATTGATAACAACATAAATGAACAAATTTGTACACATAATAAAAAATGTTAATATAGTAATAGGATTAAATTATAATAAGGAATATTTTTCCATCGAGTTGACTTGTTCTTAACTAAAATGTGTACATAACCATAGAAACAGAAGAAAATATATTAATAAAAATATAAAAATACTTATGCTACAATATTAAATATCTAGGTACCTAAGTATATACAACAATAATGAAATCTGTAATACAAAATAAAACATTTGTAATAATTTAATTATTTTATATGTGTATGTATCTGAAACATGCAGTTAATATAAATTATTTACCTTAAAAAAATAAATATAGGTAGATAAAGACAAAAATTTTAAAAATATATATAATCAAAATAAGGATCAGGAGTATATCAATATACTTTTAACATAAAGTAATTAACTCTCCCTAAAAACACATACCTACATAATTTAAAATTACATATTGATATTTAAGTTAAAACTGCTAATTACTGGTACAAAGCTATGAATCTTATTGTTTAGTTTTAGAAAGGTTGTATAATTAAAATATAACATTGAAAGACAACAAATATATATCTAAAAATATGAAATTAAAGATATTTTTATTCAATGATAAATTACACTAAAAATCTAGTTTAAAATAATTTTTTATTTTCATTTAAATGAATTTATTTACCATAAATAATATTTAAAACATGTCTTTAATTTATAGTTTTTACATGATTATTAAAAGTGTATATTTAAGAAAATAATGAATTAAGTTTATGAATTGCCAGTATAAATGATTGTTTAATTTTATCAAACTAAGTTCTTATAATTTTCATTTATAATAAGATTAAGAAATACTAACTGAATATCAGCATTCTGCATACAATATTACCAATTTTTATTATTAATTATTCAATCCTAAATACAAATTTTTAACGTTAATAAATACACATTATAGAATATCTGATTAATCTAATTTAACGTATTGATTACAAAACGTTTAATTTAGATAAGTAACAGACTAGTTTTTTTTTATTATTATTATTAATAAAATTGAAAGTTCTTTCAATACCAAAACAATCAACATTGGGTTGATGTGTCAACAAAATAGCTAATAAACAATTAAGATAAATACTAAAAATAACCACAATGCATTTATGTCTATTTAGATAAACTCAATTTATTTACTATATAAATGATGACATCATATGGAAAACTGTTCTATACGTTTAAATCCAGTTATCATATCTTGTATGAATTGTATGTATGGATTCAAAAAAATACATCTTGAACAAATTGAATATCTAATTATTAATGTATCAACAATTACCTTTAGTATTTTATAATGAAAATTTCTTTTTGTGTACCTACCTAAACAATGTTGACTCACAAATCAATTTGAGTCAATAATAAAAAAAAAATATATTTATAAGGTATTAAAATTACTTGACTAAAATAAATGTATTAACATATAAACATCTAGTAAAAATCTTTAAATTTAAAAAGATATCTAGCTATCTAAAAAACATCCATAAAATTCAAAATAGATAAAAGAATAAATAATTTTAAAAACCTACCTATATTAATTAATTTTAAATTATATTAGTATCATAGAATAATTATTATAATATTTATTACTATTAATGTATATTTTTGTAATTAGTTCTATTTCATTATTATTATTATTTTTTTTTTTTTTATTATTCAATAGGTAGTTTCTTTATAAGTAGTAAATATCTACCAAGAACTAATTGTATACTATTTAAACTATATCTTATAATGATCTTCTAATAACTAATTAAACACCTATCCATTTTTATTTTCATAATTTTTATAGTTACTAATAATACTATACCATATTATACTTGCTTGTACAATTATAGCTTAATAGAACATCACAGTAACCAGACAGTGCACCAACTATTTTAATCTATTTTCTCTCTTAAATTGCATAAACATGAAAAGTACCTAAATATTTTATAAGAATAATAAATATCCATTCGTTTTTAACCAACATCCAACATAATATATAGATACTAAAGGCACTTATAAAATTAAATCACATTATCATAAACAATTTCAACAAACCTTTAAAGTCTACAATTATTATCCAAATGTATTTCATCAAAAATGTTTCGAGTAAAAATGGAATTGACTGATAATGTTAATTTACCAAGAGTTGGCTTAAAAAATGTCTTGAGTCCTCGCAGTTACTCATAGAGAGGGGTTTCAATTGATTGGAATGATATCATACGATACATAGATACAAACACAAAAGTTAGTAATTGAATACAAAAACTGTCTAGTGATGAATGCCGCTTCAGGGTAAATAACTGGGTAAGACACACAAAAGCAGGACAGACCATCATGTAAGAAATCACCATGCACGTTGGCAGTCGGTCAACAACAACCGCTGAAATTATAGTACGCGAGGCTTGAAGAAAGGAATAAGGGGCGGTGTTTAGAGAGGGGGACACAGGGTATTAATTGGCAACGTTCGCGGGAAAAAAATATTCGCATATAGAGTCACACATTACAACGGACACACGAAGACGATGAAAAGAGTTTGACGGGGTATTGTTGTTAAAATTAGTAAAAAATAAAAGGGCCCAGTTTCGGCGGGAGCCCCCAACGACGAGACGAAATCTCGCACCAGGCCCTCGGTGACCGTTGCGGCCAACAATAGACGTGCCGCCAAAATAATCAAATAAATGATCGCGCCACCGGTGGTGTACTCTGCTTACCTCGTCGACAGTCAACGGCATGCAAATGCGGTACTCCTTGATCAGGACCATGGCGCTGCTGGTAATAAGCGCACGGCTCCCGGGGCGCTTAAGTTCGCGGAGTACGGTACACGGAGCTCCGGCTGCGGCGGCGGCGGCTAAGGCTGTGGCGGACGTTGCACTATCGGGAGGCCGTTTCGGCGCGGCGTCGTTTGGACGGGCGAAAAGCAAACCGAACGGTGGCTGGTCGGCTTGCTGATGGACTGGCCGGAGCGAGACAAAAAAAAAAAAAAAAAAAAAACAAAAACAACAAAAACAGTGAATAATCTCGGATCAGCGAAAACGTAAATATACAAAACACGGCTGTCCGACCATATTATTTAATATTTTCGTGGTGTACGGAACGGTACGCGTACCCGCCGCGGTGTCGGTGTACGGTGTAGATGCACCGCCCAGATAGCGGCGGTGACGCCGGCGGAGCCACTCTCATGGAACGTAAAACGAAATGCTAAATCACCTCCCCGCGTTTTTCGTGATGGTATACGCCATACGAATTCGGTTACGGACGAGTGGGACAACAGTGTCCGCCGAACATAACGCCGCGGCTCTTGCTCGGGTGGCACCACCGCATCTGAGCCGGATGGGTCTGTCGCGCTTGGGACTCCAGGCTCATGGAAGAGAAATTTCCGGCGGTTGGCACGGCCGCGGCAGGATGCGCGCGCACACCAGTACATTACACCGTGTGAGTTATACGCGCACCGAACGCCCGCAGCCGCCACTACCGTCGGAGTTTGTTGTACGCGACGCGCACAGGCCGACAACCGCCCGGCGCGAAATGGCCGCACTGCTGACACCATCGCGGCGACGCCAACGACTACAGCTGCTGCTGAAGTGCTGAGGCCGCCACCGCTAAAAAAACGTATTTTTTTCATAATACCCGCGCAATACGCCGGGACGTTTTCAATAACAAATACCATTTTATACTAACAATAACTGAACAACGAAACAAATATTTATTGCAGCGAAATAATGTGTACGTAATATGTACGTTTACATTATTAGTAACGTACCGAAAACACAACATGGCGCTTGCCACTAAGTGTATTTTTACAAAATAAATAATAAATACGAAAAGTTATCGTAAGCTAACAAAAAAAATAATAATTTACTGAGTAGGGTACAGTAACACTACACTAATTTAATGCATTAGACTCTTTTTAAAAAAATAAATAAATAAGTACATCCATTGTTTTTCAAATGACTATAGTAGAAAAATGAAATATTTTTGTGAGTATGGATTAATGAAGTCAAAAATGAAGGGTCGTCGTTAACGAATTTAACCGCTTTTTTAACTGAATTTGGAGCCCCACATTTAGATCAATAATTGTACCAACGATCCCTCGATTTCATTTTATTTAGTCATATACCTAGCATGTGTTGCTCATGTGTACCTACTATTGTTCGGAAATGATTTGAGTTGGTGATGCAGAAAACCTCTCCCCCACTATTGTGATTTAGTTAAATAATAATTTATAGAATTATTAATAATTAATATTGTTTGAGTTTAATTAATTAATTTGATCCTACCTTTCGGTGATGATTGATGAATTTAACGAAGCAAATATGGACTGGATGACCCCTTCTCACTAAGTCTTTGGAGTCGACTTCCCATATTTTTTTTTAATTATATCAAAAACAGATCACAGATAGATTCTATAAAAAACCTAATTCAAAGAATAACGTGTCGTGTGTGCATAATGAATCAATAATTGTGTAATATCTATAGTAGCTTCATATTAAAGTGTAATCGCTATTGACTGATGATAGGAGAAAGTCTCGGGAAAAAATAAATGTGCTATTTATATAAATAGTATATCTATATCTTTGTTGGCCGTTACTCGTTAGGAACTAAATATTTCTTTACAATGCTATGTGTTTTAGCTAATAATTATAAAAAAGTGTTAAAATGCTCCATTATTGTAGTGTAATAATATAATAACTTTTGTCTATAAATATTTCTAGCTTTAACTAATAATTATAAAAAAAGTATTTGAAAAATATACTATTATAGATTATAGTATACATAGGTTTATAATAAATTTCATTTATATATGTGTAAAAAATATTTCTAGCTATAGCTAATAATTTATAAAAAAAAGTATATTGTTATTACTATTATTCAAGAAAGCACTCTATTAGAACCTAGAGGTATACCTAACTGTCTTATATATAACTTAACACGGTTACAACCAAGTAGGTGATATTTATATAATGTTTTATTCATCTTTAAATCTTGTTTTCTAAAAATGCCTTTCAATAAGAATACTAAAATTAAGTATTAAAAATTTAAATTTTTTAGTCAGTTACTCAATTACCTAATTAATCCTTTATTAGTTTTTATAATAATATAATTATAAACTAATTTAACACGAATTTTTTATTAAAATACTAAAATTTTGCCCTAACCCTGAATAATTATTTTATTAAGCTCTTATTATCATGTTTACAAACAATAAAAACTGAGTCTTTTTCTTAAATCCAACACTACAATCTCCTCCCCCCTTTGATGTTTTTATATAACGGTATTGTCTACTGTCATTGACCATTGTTCTGTAGTATGGTCATGTTACTTACTTATATATGATCGAATACATAATTATTTTGCACACCGACAACAGGTTCTAATAATATTACGTAAACTCGCGTGTACCTAAGTTGCCTGTTTGTCTGTCGGAATGAATGACACGAACCGTCAATGATTTCGAAACCGCAATGCACTTATTGCACATCGCTTGAAGCGATAGTCGCGAGCTGCAAATACCACATATGTGTCACGGTGACGCACAATAAGTGCATGATTACCACTATATGTTAGGTATAAAATATTATCATATGCACTGTAAATTACGATTCCTATACTGGTTATACTTGCACGGTTACACCAATATTACACGTTCATGTAACAAATAAGTTAGTACAACTGTACAAAGTGGTCTATTAATCCATAAATTTGATCTAAGTCCCCATTTATTTTATTCTAATAAAATTTATAAAATATATTAATAGGTATCACAAAAAAATACTCCTGTGACCATTGATAATTTTTTTTTCCATACATGTATTATTTCTTTAAATATTTGGTATTTAGGTAGGTACTTACATCGCATGATTATACTGATACGAGTATTAAAATTAATTTAAATCTATTGCTGCCTATTTAAACCTAGATATACTATATTATTATTTCGTCGATTTACTTATAAAACCTACAATCATCTACATTTACTTATAATTATAAAATTAATTACTAATAATTAAACAAATCATATGGCATATACTGGTATAATAACTAACAACTAAGTTATTGCCAGAATGTGGAATAGAATGACCAATTTCTAATTAGCATGCATGAATAATGAATGTATTATAAGCCGAGTTGAATAGGTATACCTTATACCTATATGGATATACATATATATATATATAATTTACTAATTTATATCGAATAAAATAAATGCTATTTACTTAACTTCTTTCTGTACACATATAACATCTAGACCTATATATAGGAATATTCAATACTATATAATACTCGTAGGTATATACTCGAATATTATAAAATAATACCTACATTCCATAAATTTCGTGTTGAATTACTAGCAACGATATTGTAGACAGACTATGGTTATACCATTACCATTTATATAATATATCAACTGATCACCTATCTATTTTCAAGTATAACTGTAATGTTATAATATATGAATGTATTATACATACATATTATATAATATATTCAATAGTAATATCATTTATATGAATATAATAATGTAAACATTAATTTTCAATGTAAATTACGTATCTTTATTTATCTAAAAATGTTATCCTATCAAAATATTATCATAAGATAGGTACGTTAAAATCTTCTTATCAAGGGCTATATCATCAATGAACTAAACTTAATATTAAACACGAAAACCGAAAGATTGTAGGTAAACTATAGAGCAGAGGTGAGTAACTCAAAATGTTTAGAAAATTAAAATCTAGCGGGCCAGAACATTAAAAATAAAGAAAAGGTCATTCAAAATAATAAAAATATGCATTTTAATCAACATTTATTTTGTTTATAATGTTAATTTTTAACTTTAAAATCACATTTTACATTAAAATGTAATGTAATTTGAAAATTTACCCTGGCCAGTTAAAAAAGGCTCACAGGCCGCACGTGGCCCACAGATCGCCAGTTGCCCATCCTTGCTATAGAGCAGGGGTGGGCAACTGGCGGCCCACGAGCCTTTTTTATCTAGCCCGCGCTACATTTTCAAATTCATTATAAACAAAATAAATGCTATTCAAAATGTGTATGACCTTTTTTTTTTTTACTTTCTATGTTCTGGCCCACTATATTTTAAATTTCTAAAAATTGGCCCTATAGTAACTTTGAGTTGCCCATCCCTGCTATAGAGCAATGGTGGATCCAATGGGGAGGGGGTAATATGGTAAATACCCCCCTTGAGCTTAGGTTAGGTTACCCAATACCCAAATAAATTACGATAAACTGTCAATAGGGGCTTGGCGGGCATGACGATTTATTAACCCCCTCCTGATATATTTCTGAATCCGCCCCTACTATAGAGTATAGAGTAACCTAAACCGATATAAATAAATAGATAAATAATAATCATATATCACATAATAAATGAGGTAAAGGTATTTTATTGAGATAATTATTATTTTCTATGCTTAGAAAATTAAACAAAACAATAAAATATTAAATTTCTAAATGTTACAACTATAAATGAATCAAATGAGTGATCATGACAATTAAATGTAAAATACGTCATAAGTATAAAGGTACATATTTTTATTTTTATTATAAATATTCCGTTATGATTGACCTTGTAATTGTAGAATTATCACCAAATATGTTGTAACAGCTCCTGTTAACTAACAATGATATAGTGATATTACAGAGGTAATTTAATTAATATCAATTGATATGAAATTAAAATATTAATTTTTAGTAGGTATTTTTGTGATTGCTAATATTTTGGATTTTGATTGTCAAAGAAAAATCTTCAATACTAAGACGAAGAGACTGATTAGAAGAACCGATTGGTTGATTGCTACTTATAGATAGATTAAAACAAGGACTGTAATATGATAGTTAAAGTTTTTGATAGGAGAAGGTTGATTGCAGTTTTGAATTGGAAGATAATAATTTATTGTAATTTTGATTTTTGAACAAGAAGAGATTGGTTATGATTTTGTTTAGGAGGTATATATCTCGTTGGTTGAAACAAGAACAAGCAGATATAAGCAAATATTTAGAATTTAGGTGATGTTTCAAAATGTTGAATTGGTATTATTAATTTTAGACAAATGGTTGTTAGGTTAATGATGAGTACCTATGTAAAATTAAAAACGAATGAACGCAACCACAATGACTATTTAGTATTTTGGAATTTTAACGCGACTAATGTTATTGGCATTATTAATTGTTTACTTATAACACAATTAATTTAGTAGCCTTTTTTTTTTATTATTGTATAAATAAAAACGCTGATATATTTTAAATCGTAAATTTATTCATGTTTTAGATTCTGAGCGAAGTGAATAATGATGTGCACGATAAGTAGTTGTAAAAAAGCTTCAATATTCAACTTTAAAAATGGTTTCAGTTAGATAATTGAATCCAATTCAAAATTGAAAATTTCTAGTATTTTACAAAATAATCGAAAAAAACAAACAAAGTTTTTTAAAAAAATAGAAATTTTTACACAAACCCAATTTTCGAAAAAATTGATTTTTAGTGTAACTCGAAAACGAATAATAGATACCTACTTGAATGTTCACCAAATATTTTTACTATCAATTTCAATTTACGATAAAAATTTTAAAACATTTTAAATCTTTTTATCTAATATCTATAGATATTTTAAATTTTTAGTATTTTACTTATAAATGTGGATAAAAGTTATTCGCCGAGTTAAAATGCTTTAAAATAAATTACTTAATCTAATAATAGGTAACATCAAAAAAACATAATATGAAATAAACTTATGAATTAGGATATAGGAAGACAGTCGACAGATCATCTCCTCTTAGAATCATTTTTCATACACAAAGATATATCACTGAATTCAAGTTTAACATATCTATAACAGTGACCCACTCAATATATCTACGGTACAGTAGAGCGGTACCTAATAGTCCTCCTTTTATAATTAGAATAAGTCTATATTTATTTAATATTTAATAAATAATATTTGATTACCTTACATTAATCACATTTATTTCAAATTAGATTAAGAATTGATTTACTGCATAAACTATTTATGTTTAATATTCATCATATTCAAGCCAATATTTAATAGGTACTAATCCCAGGATTTATTTAGAATCAAAGCCTCACGTTTTAAAATGTTTTGAGGCTTCTTGTGAAATGCGTCTAAGTTATATGATCGCTAAAAATAAGTCTTAGCTCAAGAGAAGTAAATCAACACATATGTATTTGACGACTAAACGTTCAAGTATTATAATATATAGATAAGTACTCACTGTAACAACTAATTGTTTGTTTATAATAAACATACTGTATATACTAAATTCTGGAGTGTTGGCAGCTAATTGTTGTACATAAGTTTCAATCTACAAAAAAATATATTGATTTTGCTATTTAAATATAAAAAATATTTAAAAACAACCTAAATATTTTTATTAACTTGTAATATATAGTAATAATCAAACGTATTACGTATAATAATTATTTCAATAAAATTTGGCTACGTAATTTTTGTGATAATAATATTACTATTTTATCTTAGTTATACGTACATAGAACACATTTAATTTAAATAACCTTTTAATATTCTTTTACTTTATAGCTTATAGTATATTATTTACTATATTTGTGGGTTTGCATATAGCAGATTGTGCATAAGACGTTAAAAATTATAATGAATACATTTTTTATATATGACAATAAAATTTACGACTTTAAAACTAATATTAAATGTCTGTAGTTTGAACTATGTACAAATAAACAAAAATCACAATGATATCATCGTTCACAAAGTCAAAGAGCAAACCTCTAAATCTACTTATCTTTCCTTATTTTTAGATAAACTCGCATGCATCGTCCTTTTTTGCGCTGATTCTATACAACTATTATTTTGTTTTCATCCTAGAGCATTCTTCAGACCTAGTTTTTCCATCATATATTTTACTAATACAATTATTATCAATTATTTTAAAAACACGTTTTTAATATTTAAAATTGTATGTACCTAATGATATTATATTGATATATCACAGAAATGAATATGATACATTTAAATTTTAAAAACATCACTATTATAAATTTATACATTTATATTATGATGAAAGTACCTATATATATCGAAATTAGAAATATTAAATTTCTAAACGGTAGTAAGATGATAAGGTATACAGGTACCTACAAACTATATATCTAGTATCAACTAAGAAAATTTAACTTTCAAATTTGTTTATAAACATTTTTTTTTACTTCAGAATATTATCATTTGTTACTCATTAATGATGACTGGTGACGCTCAATACAAAAAAAAATATTTATCGAAGAAAAATTAATATATTAAGATAAAGCTTAAAAAGGCTAGTTGACCTACAAGAAAATTATTTATTAATTCCCTTATAAGTTTTGAATTATATTATAGGTACTATAATTTTTGTTTATTTATTTATTTCTATTATAACATAATCAGTTTAATTATTTTGCGATATTTAAAATAACTATTTTAAGGATTTTACTATTTTCATATTTTATGTTTACTTTATATACTAGATTTTATAGTTAAACTTTATTATATTTTAATATTAAATGTTTATATAGCTATATATTTTACAATGTGCACATATCAAAAGAATAATAATTTTTAATCAAATTTATTATACGTATAGATTATATTATTACTATATTATTATTACCTTCAATATTCATTAATATTGTTAACTATTACTGCTTAATATGATTTACACAATTTTCACATAACTCTTACCTTTTTTAAATCAAATAAATCGATTTTAGTATTAAGATAGCTTCCAAGTAATATTGGTGTTTTGGCAGCCTTCACATAAAAAAAATAATATCATTGCTTAATTTACTTGGCTCTTGTAACCAAGGATTATTTATGTTATGATGAATAATATTTTAATATTAGTGTATTTACCTCTTCTCCTAGTAGAGCACATGGATATATCATCAAAACCACTCGAAGAATATGAATTATGAACCATAAAGTGTAATCTAATATGTAACGCAATACATCAATATCCTCATTGAGTATAGTCAATGACAACAAATATGGTGTTAGCGTCAGTTGTAGTAATCCACAAAGAAAGAAGATGAATAATCGGAACTTAAATAAGTTGTTGACTCTGAATACAATTTGTGTGATTGACCAATGCACATCGCACCAATATTTCAAAATTGTAAGCAAATTTACTTTTTCCAATACTAAGGGTACATCCAATAAAAATACATTAGAAAATTATGTGTAATTATTACATTAATTAATATTTACAACAGTAGTTTCTAAAAATTATTTATTTATCATATAGATTTGATAAGGTGATATGTTTTTTTTCTAAATATTATGCATCACGTATATGTTAAAGAAATATAGTGCAATCTATATAGAATTAAAAATCATACATTTTATTAGTAATATTAAATATTCTACACAATAATGGACTATGACAGATTGTCATCGACAGTGATTCTTAATCTTTTCAAAGTGACGACGACAAATTATAAATTTGATTTTAACGTGACACATAAAAATAATTTTCTCATATTTTGCTCGTGCATAATATAGGTTATATTGCAATCTTTATCCTTGGTTCGGAATCGCTGGACCATGACATTTACGTTATGGAAAAATATCATAAACGGAACAAACTAGGACGTCTGTCACTATTATAATACACGCATAGAACATATTAAATCTGATCCGGACATCAGTATAATATAATGATCGTTATACCACTATATCAGTGGTGCATGGGGGTATACGGCGAATATTCATTTTTCTAGTTTTTTTTACCTATTCATTCAATTTACGATGATACCATAACCTGACGTGGGTATACAGTTGTATGACAATGCATATTGGCTATTCAAATTTTCAGTAGGTAATACATATAAATAGAATATTCTACTATTTTATTTTATTTTTCAATTTTTAATTATGCATGTCAATCAGATAAACAACAAAAGAGTTATTGAGAACTTAAGACTTAACTATCAACAAAAATACCTAATATTTTATGGTTAAGTATATTTAATTCGTTATTCGTATAATATGTAATAAAAGTTAATAAAAAACTATGTAGGTACATATACATGTGTCATCATGTGTGTGTGCGTAACCTTGTAGGTATGAGTATATTATCATATTATAATAGTATTATTATGGTTGAATATTACTCTTACAAATAAAACTATGTGAAAATATCAAAGTAATATTTTTTTTTGCTTCAGAGAATTCAAATTATCTCTTATAAAAATCATATAATATAACGTATACAAATTTCGTGTTTTTTTGTTTTTAGAAAAATACTACAGTAATAAATATCCAAAATCAATACTTACTCGAAGTACAAACTACAAACTGCTTGTACCTTATTTCGATAAATATGGTTTATATAGATAATATGTGTTTTGAGTGCAAAGATAAGAAATTCGTTTACTTTATTATACCTCATACTACGTGTATACCAGGCGTGCCCAACCCGCGGCCAGTGGAAGTATTCCAACCGGTCCATGAAAATGTTAACAGCCATTGGAATTTGTACGTAGCCAACATTATAAACAAAGGCTTCGAATGTGATCAGGATTTTTAAAAAGATTGGGCACGTCTGTACTTAATTATTATCGGCTGTTTGGCAAATAAATCGCAAATCATAATGATGTATTCATGTGATTGGTTTCTCACCGCAAACGAACATGACGTTCTGCAGCGGGACGTCCGAAGACGACGTTTTAGCAGTGTTGGCGGCGGCGGCGGGCCCATACTCGTGCAGGCCGGAATCGTGCGAGCGGCCCGCGCTTCCGGCCCGAATCCGGCAATTGAGCTCGCTGTAACACTGCCGCAGCCCGAAAACGGTGATGCCGAACTGCATGTGGCCGGTGAGCATCACGTAATGGCTCCAAATGTAGACCGCCCCGAATGACCAGGACATAGAGCCCGAGTACCGCCTCACGTCCAGCGACAAGGCGACGACCAACAACACGTACAGCGCCCAACAGTACGCGCCCATGGCGCGGCCGACCGGAGTCGCGGTGCCGAATAGCTGGTGTACCGCGGCCGCGTGTTCGGCGTACACCTGGACGTGTTGCCGGCGGTACACGATCGTGCCCCAGTAAACAGCCGTGGTCGCGACGAATAGCGTCGTCACGTTCATGTCCTTCATCGCGTGGATCAGAAACATACTCGTACTGTTCTCAAGACGACTGTACGTGCTCAGCCGTCCGAACGTCAGCACCGAGAACAGGTAAGCGTACGCCGAATAAATGGTCACTGCGTACACGGCCGACAGACGGGACGACGGTGGCGGCGGCCGGCTGCTCAACGAGAACGTCCCCAACCCGGTCAACCGCCACAGGATGATCAGCGCTTTGGACGCGTGAAACATCTAACGTATTATTAGATTTAAATAAATATTTTAACGATATAATATATATATTTATAATGTGTGTGTGTGTGTATGTGTGTGTGTTTAGGAATTAAATCGGAACCTAAAGAAAGTCATAAAGTATTATACGAAATTTTCTTGATCAAAAGCGATCAAAGGGAAGATTTCGACAACGATTCACGGTGGTTATAGATAAGGCGGTGAAAACGTGCAAAAGGCAACGATGGCTTATTGTATACAGCACAAAAAAAAAAAAAATAGGAACTTGAGGTTATATCATATATTATGGCAACCTCATTATTATGTTTTCATAAAAAAAGTTGTATTATACGATTCCCATAAAGGCTATATAATGCACTGCCAGGTATAATATAATATACCAGCTATTACCGAAACGTATCGCGATGATTTGTTTTATTGTTTACAGACTACAATAAAATATGCGTGTAACATAAACGGGAAACATAACAATTTATTACAAGTATCCGAGTGACACAATAATAGTGTATCTAACATTACTATACATTAGTCTAAATTGTTTTTTATAGTTGTACATATATATATTATAGAATACATTATACGAACGCGACAGCTAGTGCGACACTATGTAATCTAGACGGCAAACATAATTTAATACAATATGTAATACCTATGCTATTTTATAATACGCTTATATAGTCATACACCTATATGACTATATATCATTATTGGAGGTAATATACCTGTACGTAAATCCAACCGTGGCGGATTTACATCATAATACATTACCTGTATTGTTATTGATTTTTCTAGTCGGAGTTTTGGAATTGAATTAAGATCACTAAATACGTGAGTGCGGTTCCGATAATCTGAAATTTGTATCTATTATTAAATTTAAATAATGATATTTTAAGTATAATAATGTACACCATACGGTATAGGTGGCATGCAAATGTAATGAGGAAATTTTACATTTACATACACTCAATAACTATTAAAATAACACAAGAAAAATCAAAAAATTACTAATAATTTCCTTATTAAAGTGTTAAAATTAATTGAAAAAAATAAATTGAGTACCCTCCATGTAATAAAGTATAAAGTAAGATCAATTAATAATACAATTACTTGGTTCATAATGAAAAAAATCATACTATATAAAATCAGTGGCATCTTAATTATAATTTTTTTGGTGGTACGAGGAGATTAAAATATAGATATTGCGTGGCCATAAAATAAGAACTAATTTCAAGAAAAATTGCCACGTTTGAAAAAATTAGCGAAAAGGGGGTTATTTCTACCCGCAGTCATACATTATTGTAAAAAATTATAAATCTATAAACAGTTTAAAATAAACCTAAATGTAGCATGAACATTTATTATTTTACATTTTTACCGTTGTAATAGTGGAACGATGTAAATTTACAATTCCGCAAGCAGAAAAATCGATTGCATATTTTTGCAATTGAAGAACAAATATTTCCAACTGAAAAGTATAAAATATTAATTTTACATATAATAAATTATACTTGACTATTACCTAACTGATAATATTAAAAAACTATTCTTGCGTACTCTTACATATAGATTTACAATTTTGTTAATTTACCATAATATTTAAAATAAATTACGTTAAAATGGTCTTAATTGTATGAAATATAACTGAAATAATTAATTAATAATTACAAAATATATACAGTGGAACCTTGATTAACCGTGTCTCGATTATTAATGTTCGAGATTAACCGAAAATTTAAAAATCCTCAAACAAGAAGATTTTTTCTTCCATAACGTAATTGGTTTAAAAAAATTAAAAAGTAAAGTAAGAAAAATTATTTTAATCCAAAAAACAAAAAAACAAAGACTAATAACTTCATATTTTAGTCACTGATATATTTATAAAAAGTCTAGATTAATCGTGCATGGTTTTCATTTATCTGTGTAACACTTCCCTCCCCCCATTACTTCGGATAATCGAAGTTTTACTATATATAATTTATTAAATAAATACCAATACACCTAACATTCTAACAAGATATTAATTAAATTATATTAGATATTTAGATCTAATATTTTCGCCTTTAAAATAGAATAGGTACCATAAATACTTGTTACGACTATAATATTAAAATAATTTAATTTAATTTTTGTATTATTAATAATTATTTTTTTTTTTTTTTTTTTTAATAAATACCTGTTTCATATCACCTGGTTCAATATCAATAGTTAGATATTTACATATAATCTCAGCAGTTTTTTCACCCTGTATAATACACATCGTTATAATTTAACATTAGTTAGTAGATAGATGGTTTTATGATGAATTCTTATTAACTTTTCTAGTAGCGTACGACGTAGGTAATACGATTAATAATAAATGACTCAAATGAGTCAATACCCAGACAACTTGGATCAAAATGAATTTAATATCTGTAGAACCATAAACCACCGGGTAAAATAAATTTATGATCATAAAATACGGAGTCACAATTAATTGCACACAATTGCAGAATAATTGCAAAAATAATTGCCATCCAAATTTATCATTGACTATTTTAATACTATTACAAAGACTCCAGTGAAGATCTTGTAATTTTGCGATTGAAATATTTTTCGGATCTATAAATAATAAAAATAAAATAATTAGTATACATATCAATTTTTGTGGAATATTAGGAAATATTGATTTTAAACGTCATATATTAGATACAACAAATTAATTTTTTTGTACCTATCATAACTCTTATTTACCTTAACCAAACTACATAAGTAACCTACCTACAAGTTTTATTTGTCATTAAACTAACTATGAAAATATCCACGGAGTCAGGGACATAATACACCATATACTAAAAAAATTATTTAAATATTACTTAAGTTATAAATTATAATAGAACCATTTTTTATTAAAAATCAAAATTAACATTTAAATACAAACGAAAATTATGTGTATCAATATCCATAACCATATACAATACGTATTTATTTTTAACCACATTTTTTTTAATTATTTTATACTAGTATATACCAAATAACATAGTATAATCTATACTTTATAGCAATCACTTAACTAATTGCCAACGTCGAATACATATCACACTATAATATCATATATTTATGTTTAATATTTATTTTAGCTTACATACATTTATTTCTCTATACTTCCCACATTCTTATATATATCCTACCACCTACCATATTAACACTTTTTTATCATGACATTTGGTTTTTTATAGTCCTTGGTAAAAAAAAAAAGTTAGTCACCTCTCACCACTTACTGCTACATTAAACTATGTATTTTTAATATGAATCAATTGCCTAAAACACTGATATTTATCAATTAAATTAAAAGCGTCATTCATATGTCATGCATAGAGGTTAATGACCTATGACAAATTAAAACAAACTTTCACGCTCTCTATTACCTACAATTTACAGTATATAATCAGTCGACATATTAAGGAAGCCACATTTATATGTAGAAATATGTATAAATTGGCTTATATAATATATAAATATTACAAACCTACATAATATAATACCTACCTATTATTATATACTTTTTGTAAATATGTTTGTGATGAGGCTGGATTTATAATCTTGTAGTGCCATATAGGTAATCTTTGTTATAAATTCTACAAAGACAAGTTAGCTATGAGTCAATCTCAATGAGTAGGTAGAACATTAAATAGGTAACTCGTTACCTAAAAATTTGTTTAATTATACCTATACTTAGTTATTGTTAAAATATATTTCTTAAATACCTAAATAGATAATACACATTTACACAATTATAATAAATATTTCCTCATAATATTTTTGGGTCAAATAATTGTGGTAAACTCTATTTTATGTCTCATTAAAAAAAAACGTCATTACTGAAAAATTAAAGATCATGCTTAAATATCTGTGCCAATTCTTATCGTATTGACAACGTACAAGAGACTAATTCAAAAACTTGTCTAGAGTACAACAATAAAAATAAAAAAGTATTGTTACTAAAACAAGAACTATTTCGGACGTAAGTTATCTAGAATCAAATAATGAAAAAAATCTTTTTAAATATTTTTAAGAATAATTAAATAATCGCATTCAAATATTATTTGTACACATTTGTTTAAACTATAAATGACCAAGTTGCTATTAGTACACAACTTAAGTGTCCTTGCTCTCCGATAAAAAGTATTATTTCAATGGAGAATAAAATCAGATTTTATTTCTCATCAATTAGGTAGTCACAGGAAATGGTCCTATGAAGATAGGGCATCATATATTTACATCACATTATTGGGATGATGCTATGCCACACCCGAATCTGTTGTCTCCGTGCTCTGTTTTAAAAACATGCAACACAGCAAATTTGCGAATTTGGGTTTGGCAAAATCAAGAGGGTGTTGTTAGCTTTAAATTTTAATATTAGAGTGATCTGTCCTATTATCGAAGTTAAATGTACGAACATTACCTGCGCACAAGAGTTTGCTTTCTTAGACATTTTTAATTTTTAAGTTATCTATGAGTATTTAAATTTACATTACTCATGTCTTGCTAAAAAAAAAAAAATAAATAAATAAAATATCGAAAAAACCAACGTATAAGTATACATAATATAATGTTTTTACCTTTAACTTTGATTGCACGGCCTGCAATTGATTCTAATATGAAAGCTAACAACGCACAATGAATTGGTTGGTACCGCAATTCAAATTTGCCGTGTTGTAAGTTAGTAAAACGAGGACGACACGTATGGGCAGCGTCTTCTCGGGGCGATTTTTATCAGTATAATATTTGTACCCAATATTATTCATTCTTCACTATAGGCGTGTTTCTATAGGACGTTTAGGTATATACCTAACCACAAATACAATAATTGTAAACATTATTATATTACATTCGTACCGTATCGGCAGTCGGCCGGAGGCACCGGATCAGGAGACACGACGACCGCGGTGTGGCCGGCGAACGTCCAGACGCGTTGCGGGGGCCGACAGCCGTTATTGCCGCGGAACCCGCGATCGAACGCCGCCGCCGTCACGTTCGACTGGATTCCCGCCAGTTTGTACTCGATCGCAGCGTTGATGTCTTCGAACCGGCGTCCGATGTTCCAAGCGACCTGCGCGTACATGAGCATGGTGGCCAGGTCGATGAACATGTACACGTAGCACACGCAGTACATCCAGGTGGCCGGGCTGAGCGCGTACCACAGGTAACCGTCGACGGCGAACAGGGCCGCGTGGAACGCGACCAGCGTCGGCGTGTACCTGGCCAGCGGCTGGTCGGCGGACACCCGGAACACGGCGTCCGTGCGGTTCAGGTGCCGCTCGATGTCCAGCAGCATGACATGTCGGCCGGCGGAGCACGCGACCGCCAGCGTGCACACCAAGCACTGGAGCGTCACCTGGAGCGTGGTGACGACGGCCGAGGACGTGTTCTGTATGCGCATCGACCGGCCTGCGGTGAACGCTCGCGCGTCCTCCGCTACGGTCCACATGCCGCCGGCCACGCACGCGGCCAACACGGCCAAGTTGAACGCGTACCACCAGGCGTTGAACGCGTAGTGCGACCGGCGACGTTGCGCGTTGCCGCCGGCCGGTTTCCAGCGCAGCGTCACCGGCGCGATCAAAAGGCATTGCCACACTCTCAACAGGACCTTTGAAAAGTCGTACATGACGTGGTGATTCGCGGGCGTGTGGTTCGATTTCACTGTATCACGAAAAACAAACGTAAAGGAACGTGTTCGGCATATTAAGACGCTGCAGACGATAACAATAACCGCGGTTGTGGCCGTTGAGGGTATGATGTGCGAATACGTGATAGGTAGATACAGGGGTATAGCGATGGGTACAAGGATCGACATAGATGACCTA